GGTTGCTCTTGTATAGTCTGTTCCTTTTTTTCCTATCAAACATGTATTGTCTGTATCTCTCATTATTCTTTTTTTTGTGTGTGTTTGTTACTCTGTTGTAACACCTCAAGTCTTCGGCACTTATATGATCTTATTGTGTTGCAAGTGCCGTAAACTCCTAGTAAAACAATTCTCTTTACTAAAACAAGCTCAAACAATTACTCTGACAACCAAACAATATTATTGTTGTTTTCTGCTGTTGTTCCAGTTGGCGATGCTCTGATTGTGTGCATTCACAGCGTTGTCAGTTCGCGCTTTTTTTTTTCTCTGGACATTTTTTGAGTGGTTGGCGGGTGCTCTGGTGTGGTTTGCTCCTTCTTTCCTATCAAACACCTATCGTCCTTATCTCCCCCCTCCTTCTTTTTTATGTTTGTTACTCTCTTGTAACACCTCTAATCTTCTGGCGCTCATATGACTTTATTCAGTTGCGAGCGCCGTAAAATCTCTACTAGAAAAAACTAGAACCCTTGTTGCTCGCTGGGCTTGAGAGAGTTGCAGAAACTGAGGGCGGACAATGCCAGGAATTCGCTGACCCTGCAATGGCTTTTCTTTGCTCTCTGCTCTTTGCTCTTTGCTCTTCTTAGTACAATATCCCAGTGTCATACTGGGTGTGCTATGAACAATCATACAGAATTTTTTTTCCGTTTTTTTTTTCATTTGGAAAAAAAAAGTCCTGTGTTCTCTATTTTTCGTGGGGTTTTTTTTTTGGGGGGGGGGACGAAAATGATTGAACTGACAGGGCGCTGAAAGACCAACTCTGGTCTGTTTTCTGTTCATCTTCCTTCTATTCTCCCCAAGTCTTTGTTCAATTTTTTTTTATATTTCTTTATTTTCTGACAAGGGTAAACAAAGCCATCCTTTTTGGGAAGAAGTTAAAGCATATCGGAAATAATTTGCGTTTGAGTTCGTGCACAAGGTAACCTTCCTGCTTGCCTGCAACCCGAGTCTTTTGTTTGTTTTTCATGTGCCCCCAAACACGTGAGGGAGCAGGGCGTTTTTGAGACAAGACAGTGGAGCCAAATGGAACGCTTTTTTTTTCTCTCTCTCTCTGAGCTTGTATCGTTACTTCTGGCTTCTGGCTAATGTAGTGGGAGTGGGTGGTTAGAGGGTGCCACTGGTCAGTCCTACTTCTTTACTTTCTCTCTGTTGTTTTTGTCTGTTTGTCTGGGTTTTTTCCCCCCAGCACTTTATGACCTTGTTGTGTCGACGCGCTTCTCTTTCTTTAAACAAACATACGGTAACGGTTGTTGTTGGGTTTTTTTTCCTTTTAAATTAATTTTATGATTTAAAAAAAATTGAAAATGAAAGAGGAAAAGGGTTGAGTGCGACTGAGAGCCATCCGTCGGGTGAACGTGTGGGTGAATTATTACTTAGGCAAGGCTATCACGATAATTATTGTCCGAGCGAATTATACAGGGTGAATCAAAACTTTGCCAACACTGGTTTGAGAGCAAGTTCGACATAGATGAACTCAAGGACAGAATTCAAGATGTCCCATCTAGTATTCACTATTCAGGCCCGCGAAATACGTGCCAGGGCTGTAAATTGTACCGTTGAT